CAATTAGGCCAACTGATCACACCTAACATTAAAAGGGAGAAAGCATAAGCAGGTAGGTGTGGTGGGGTGTGTGTGTGTGTGTGTGTGTGTGTGCGTGTAAGTTGCAAGTGACTAGCTCTGAAAAAAAAAAGGAAAAAATGTTTTGTTTTGTTTTTTTGTTTTTTTTAGAAAACTTGTACTGAACAGTGGCCCATGCCTGTAATCCCAGAACTCTGGGAGGCAGAGGCAGGTGGATCTCTGTGAGTTTGAGGCCAGGTTGGTCTGCAAAGTGAGTCCAGGACAGCCAAGGCTACACAGAGAAACCCTGTCTTCAAAAAAAAAAAAAAAAAAAAAAGAAAAAGAAAGAAAAAAATAGTGTCCCCTTACCTAGCCCCCAAATAAGATTTCTATAACTCAGTACTCAAATAGGTTTTCTTCCTTACTTACTAAGTAGAATCCTAAGCATGAATTAATCTTTTGTTGTTTTTTTATTGTTGTTTAAGGTCTAACATTCTTTGTGGATAGGGATGTCTAAACAAGCTGCAAGAAGCCTACACTATGTGTTGGAGGTTGGGCAGGATTTCTAGCCCCACCCACTAGCTGCAGGTCAGGACAATCTATTCTGAGACTTTTGAATGCCCTGAGGAAAACAAAATTCCTCAAAACGGAGAGAGAAAACGTAGTTGCTTTACAAATCATTGCTTCATTCATCAGGAGCATCTTACTTACAAACAGACTAAAATGCAAAAATGGTAACATTTTACAATATTCTCTGAAGATTAATCAACTGTCCAAAAATTAGATTATCTCTAATGCTCCTCTTAAACCCACAGAGGATTTTGCATCACAGAAATATTAATAGCTTATCTCTTTACGCCTACCTACGTCGACGAACATAGAGGCTTTATGTTCACTATGTCCATTCTCTCATTTTATAGCTTGTCATCTTCCAGGGGTGGCTGTCAAGTCCACGGTAATACAAAATAATTTTACAGTCTACTTTAACCTATCAGATTATTTCCAGATATATTTCATTTTAATCACTCTAGTACTAAAACTAAAAATGAAGTGTTTTAGCTTACTTAGTTTATAATATATGACCAAAGTCAAATTATTATAGGTTTTAGGAATTGAATGCTTCCCACACCTAACAAGTCAAGGGAGAAAATAATGATGTTTCTTCAAATAACTTTTACTACTATGGCATAACAAAGTATCCTTTTAACCTTTTTAAAATGGGTTTTTGTTTTGTTTTGTTTATTACTGTTTTGAAACACAGTCTCTCTACATTGCCCTGGCTGTCCTAGATGTCACTATGTAGACCAGGGTGACCTCTGCATCTGCCTCCTGTGTGCAGAGGCACACAGATTAAAAGCTGGATTAAAAGCTGCTCCACCACGCCTGATTCCTTTTTAAATTTTGCATCTGTGCTTCCTTGAGTACTTTCAGGATTGTTTTGGCCCCCGGCCTGTCATTAACTTTTCACCACTCTATCCCATCCACACCAAACAATTCAACCTAGGTGTTTGATCATTTTAATTTACCTTTCAGTAGATATCAAAGAATTCAAATCCCAGCTTGTTTTTCCTTTGGAATCTAAGAAAAGTTAAATTGTTTAGGCTTCAAATTCTGCTATGGAACTTGTTATCTAAAAGTTAAGAGTTAATAGCCTCTTAGTAAAAGTTACCCTCCCCTCCCTTTCATATCAAAGCACATTAAGTATAGGGTAAGCACCCATTCTACTGAAGCATTTCTGAGCAAATAACTAACAAAAGCCAAGGGAGGGGGTAATTAGAAGAAATTAGTCCATGGAGTTTTTATTTTACTTTTCTTTAAAAGAACTGTTTCCAGGCTGGAGAGATGACTCAGTAGTTAAAAGCACTGTCTGCTCTTCCAGAGGTGTCCTGAGTTCAATTTTCAGAAATTACATGGTGGCTTATAACCATCTATACTAGAAGCTGGATGCCCTCTTCTGGCATGCAGATGTACATACAGATAGAGCACTCATATACGTAAAATAAATAAAATCTTAAAAAAAGAAAAAGGGCTGTTCATTTCTCTCTCCTGTAACCACAACTACTGCCAAAGAATTTTTATTCATATTTCCCTCAAAAAGGAAAGAGATAAACTTCTCAATATTACTAAACTGTATACATAATTCATATATTTAGCTTATTGCCACTACAATTATTTATTTTACATTATTTTAATTATGAATTTAATTAAATATTAAATTGTCTTTTTAAAAGTTACTTGTGATTAATCTGCTAAAAATAAAAATTATTTAATATTACTATTAGTAAACAATAGAATACTAATTTTAAAAGCATTGATCTTTGTAAAGATCTTTGATCCAGTTATATAAGCCAGTTTTCCTTACTGGCAAACCAAACAATTAACATAGTTATATTTTATTAAGTAGTAGATGAGATGTAACTTATTATATGTGAGTCTTTCATTCTGCTTAAAATACGTAAAAAACATACATATATATAATATATAAAGCTCTCTTGCAAATAGAAACTGAATAGGAACAAAGAATGAGCTCTATAGCAGATTTAAATGCTCTGAAAGAGATAATAAAGTTTCAGGGAAAAAAATGGTAATATCAATGTATGCTGATACAGTATTCATAATTTAGCTATATAAAGTGACGTTCACTTCATTTTTCCTGTTCAATTTTAGTCCTGGCTATTCGTAACTTAGAACTAAAAAAAAAAAAAAAAAAAAATAGCTAACTTCATTTGTTCTTAAAACATTTTAAAGTCAACAATCAGAATCTGATTTTGTTTTGTTTACTGACTCAGGGTCTCACTATATAATCCATGCGATCCTTGATCTTGTGCTCCTGGTGAACCACAGGAGCAATCATAGTTTTTCATAAACTAAATCTGCTTGTTTGGTCTTAAAAAAATTAACTTCAAAAAGAAATTTAAGAATAGGTAAAGGTTCTCCAAATACTCTGGCACTCAAACTTTTCAGCAATGAGCAATCATTTGAGCAAGTAAATTAACACTACCAGGCTGGCGGTAGAGCTCAGTGGGAAATGAGTCTTTGCCCCAATGTACAGTGTGCATACATACACACACACACACACACACACACACACACGGTGGGGGGCTAGAGTGAAGCAGAAACAGAGAGAACTAAGTTGTTCTTTTAAACAGGAAATGTGAGTGTGTCCTAAAACAATAGCATTTGTTTCAGAATATAGTTAAAATATCAAGCGCATGCTAATTCTTCTAACTTTGAAGTTCCTAGGTATACATAGGTATACATAGGTATACATAGGCTGCTAAACATTAAACATGTAGTTAGAAGAGAGACACTCTAAAAATCAAGACACTGAACTTCAGTGAACATCAATGGTGAAGATGAAAACACGTTTTCGAGAAAGTCACTAAATAAGTCTGTCAGTCCTGTTGGTGCATGCTTGTGATCGATACCAGCACTTGGGGAAGCAGAGGCAGGGTGATCTCTATGCGTTCTAAGCAAACTGTTCTACAAAGTGAGTCCAGGACAAGCAAAGCTACACAGAGAAACCCTGTCTCGGGGGAAAAAAGAAAAAAAAAGGCAATACATAGAGAAAAATGTTAAAGATATACACTGTCTACACCCAGACTGTTTCCACCTTCAAACTAATTTATCTATGATATTGTCAGAAAACTTGACAAAAGAAATATTTTAATCATTAGGAACTTATCCAAAAATATCAACTTATATCCTTTCTTTCCCCTTAAATGCTTGGCAGGGTGTAAAATGAAATGTCAACAAATTTAATGCCCATCCTCTCCTTGTTCGCCTTATTGAGCACCTGTGACCAGAATGAAATTAACGGCTAACTGACCCAAACCTTCCATGTACTTACCCAGTTAAAACTATCCCAATTGACAAAAAAGGAAACTGAGGCATAGGGATTAAGTATGTTGTACAGGCAAACAGCTAAGAAACAGTAGAGCCAGAACTTGAACTCCATGTGCACAATAAGAAGCGTTTTTAAAGGTAGTATGAAAAAAAGTATCTTTTTTAAAAGAGCAAGCGTTGCAAATGTTAAAAAAAAAAATTGTATTACAAATGTATGCGGATGAGAATGCAGATTACACAAACTTTATCCCTAAACACGTAGGTCGTTTCTATATTTGCTCACAATTAAATACAAAACTACATTCAATCCTAAAAGCAGTCCGAAGGAAAAAGGAAGTAATTTATTGTCATTTTTCCGATACGGAATTTAACAGACTAACCAAAAAAACACATAATTTAAAGGATGGGGGAGGGGTGGGGTAACAGAGCAATAGTTTCAGAAAAACGACTTTCTCTGTGTGCAGTTAATTAGGAAACAGTGTATTTGTCAGAGAAGGAGATCAAAAAAGGGGAAAGATGACAATCACTCCAACAGCGTCCCACACCCAAAACACGCCCCCCACCACACACACACACACCTCGGGGGTGGGGGTGGGGAGCGGAGTAGCTAACGGTTGGCCAGTGAGGCCAACTGAAGAGCTGGCCCAGAAGGACCTAGTGAGGGGATGACAGGAGACCCTCGCAGCGGGGGAGGGGTGGCGATGACAGGAGGGCAGGCAGTGGGGCGACAGCGTGCTTGGCGTCTCCGAAAAGGAGAATGCGGGGGACCGGGGTCTTGAGAGAAAGGCAGGGGAGCCCAGCCGGAGTGAGAGGAACCGGGGTAGGGAACGAGTGAAAGGCGGGACCCCTCGGGCACGAAGACCGTCTGCGTGAGGCACGGCATGTCAGGACGCGGTTCTTCCCCGCTGACCGTCCCGCGTCCGGCCCCTCCGCCACCACAAACTCACTTTCTTCCGCACCCCCGAAGTCCGCAAGTCGCCCCCCAGCCCGCTCCCCGTCCCCCCATCGCCGAGCCGGAGAGGTGCAGAGTGGGCACCGGGGCTCCCCGGACGCCCTCTCCGCCCGGACCCAGCCCAGATCCGTGGGCCACAAGGCCAGGAGCCGCGCACAGGCCCAGGAGCCCGGTGACAAGTCGGAGCGGCCAACGGGCGCCTCACCTGACAGAAACGTCGGCAGTAATCCCGGCTGCTGATCCCGACGCCGCCGCCACAGCCGCTGCTGCCGGCGCCCCCTCCGCCGTCGCCCGCGGCTCGGAGCCCCACGGGGCCCGGGGGAGACTCCACAATGGCCACGAGCTCTTCCCCGAGGCGCTCGGCCTCTTGGTCGCTCTCTTCCTCCGCCATGAGGCTCTCGCCGCCCAGCGCGTACCCAGCCCCTGCGCCGCCGCCGCCGCCGCCGCCTCGGCTAACCTCCTCCTCCCCTAGTCCCCTCCTCCTTTCCCTCCGCCCCAGCCGGACAGGGCCTCTCCGCCGGGCTCCACTTCCGGCTCCGCCCACCCACGCCCCCAGCTCTCACTGGAGGAAGGAAGCCGCCAATCACCGGCGTGCCCACCCCACACTCCTATTGGCCAGGATGGCCGTCTGTTTGACAGCCCTGCCGTCTGTTGGTCGGCGCGGCTCGGCGGTTGCCGAGGTCCGCCTACGAGCTCTGCCATAGGGCGCGCCGGAGGACGGGGCGCGGCGGGGGACACGGCGGCCGCGGCGGGTTTCGCTCGGGCGGCGGCGGCGGCGGCGGCGGCGGCGGCGGCGGCGGCGGCGGCGGCGGG